TGATCCTTCCCCATCTGCTATGCTGGGTAGAACTGATGGGAGTTAAAGTTTTATGACCCCCTCCATTTTGCAGGCTTGTGTAATGGATGCACTAAATAGCGTCTCTATGGAAGACAGGAATATGTGACCTTGTATTTCAACCATAATGATTAAGTGGATAACAACTTTTCAAGACAGTATGAATTTCAAAACCCATTAAAAATATGGAAGTACCAGGTGGTTGTAACACCCACGTTTATCTTCAGTAGAGAAATATAAAAGTGGACCGAAGAGCCAGTGCAGTTTAGTGATTGTAAGATTGGACTAAAGTCCAGGGTTCAAATCCCTGCTTAGCTACCAGGTGACCATGGGCAATTCACACACTTTTGGCCTTAAATAAAGACAATGGCAAACCTCTTCTAACAAAACTGTTAGAGAAGATCACCATAGTCAGAGCCAAGTGCAAGGTACATAAAACAGCATAATACAGAATTTATACCTTATTTTCCTGCATATAAGACTACTTTTTTACCTGCAAAATCTGTGGCTAAAGTGGGGGGGTCGTCTTATACGCCGGATACAAGGATAATGAGGCTAGAGGTGCTAAAACTCTATATTTTGACTGGAAAAATGGGGGGTCGTCTTATACGCAAGTCGTCTTATACGCCGGAAAATACGGTAATCCGTTTTGTCTCCCATCCAAAAACAGGAGCTGTCAACAGTGTACTAAAGAGCATTGAAAGAATTGTCATGGCCTGCATCCACCCAGCAGAAATAATCCAGTTTGACACCACTTTAACTGCCATGGCTCATTGCTGTGGAACTCTGGGAACTGTAGTTTTGTAAGATATTTAACCTTCTCTGTTAGAGAGCTCTAGTGTCACAACAAACTACAATTTCCAGAATTCCATAGCATTGAGCCATCACTGTTAAAGCGGTGTCAAAGCAGATTATTTGTGCAGTGTAGATGCAGCCACCGCCTTCAAGACTACAACTTTTATTTGCCTGAAACAATTTTATTAGTGGTTCAGATTACAGTGTCTTCAATGCAGTTCTTCTATGCTTTCCCATCACATTTTATTATCACCATGAGTGCTTTTAGAAAGATGGCTTCTAACATTACTAGTCAAAAGAAACTACAATCTTTACATTATTTTCTTGATATTTGGGGGGGGGGGGTTCCTAAGACTGCATCTGCACTGCAGAAATAACTACAGTTTGACACCACTTTAACTGTCATGCTATAAAATTCTGGGAATTGTAGTTTGTTGTGGCACCAGAGCTCTCTGACAGAGAAGGCTAAATGTCTCATGAAACTACAGTTCCCAGAATGCTATAGTATAGTGTGAAACTGGATTATTTGTGCAGTGTGGATGCAGCCTAGGCGATGAGTTTATTAAGCAACAGACTTGTCTTCAATATGGAGTTTTAGGTGCAGGGGTCTAGATGTGTCAACTTTCATTTGTAAATCTCTTGGTTATTTACTATTTCTTCCCTCTATCTTGCCATAAGACACAAAAAGTGCAAGGAAGAAGAGATGAAGCAGACGACACCTTTTGATTGGTAATACTAGGAATGCTCTATCCCCAAGAACCCATTATGGAAAAGAAAAAGCACAGAACTTGTCAGAACCTTGTGGCTGTGTCCTGAGGTTCTGCCAGGTGATAGGGGATGATGGATATGAGAATGAAGTGGGCAATGGTTCAATGTTGTAAGAACAGGGTTAGCGGATATGGGGGGATAGGAGGTGAACAGCTGCAAGGTTGTTTTGATAATGGGCCCTTTGGAATGAGGAGAACTAGAAGGGAGGATGGCACTCCTCAGAGCTAGTGGTGGGGACAACTCAAAGTTGGAGGCCAAGGAGCAGGAGAGCTGAAACTGTGGGAAATGTAGGTGGAGATGGGTTTTGCGCGCCAAGAGGCTGGGGAGCGGAGTAAAGATTTCGGTGGGTTTAACTAGATGCTGTAATGTTGGGGGGACAGTTCTGGCTTAAACGCAGTGTAGTGAAATGCTGACTTTGTGTGTTCAATAAACTCCTAATTACTGCAATTGGCTGGTTTACTGATTCCACAGAGTTCTGATTTTGCTGAACCTGACAGAACTGGACCCAAATGGCACTACTGAAACCCCATAGTTCAGAAATCCAGGCTTCAGTAGCAAAACTCAGTAAAACCTTTATTCCACAACTAGAGATGTACACCAGAGATGATTGCTGTTGTCAAAACAAAATAGCAAGCATTAGCAAAACACGATTAAAGCAATTAAAAATACAGTTTCAAATCTTAGGTGGGCTGCCTTCTAATTCCTTATAATAGCAAAAAAAAAAAAATCCCTTTTTTTTTCTGTCTGCCAGCTTTCCCAAGAGAATGACCTTGGATCTTCTGGAGGCTCAACTCCTTCCATCTGCTCCTTAACCACAAAGGAATTTAATCAACAGTTTCTAGCAATAAACATCCCACTGTATCTCCTGTGACTTTCTGTAGTACTGTATAACACATTAATAATACCAGTAAATAGCCAGCAAATAAAGCTATATCCTTCTAGGCTAACATTTCAAATTGTGACATAATGCAGCTCCTGATAGAAAACGTAGGGGTAACCAGAAGTGGGTTTTATTGCATGGAAGGACTGCGAGGTCAGTTCATTTCTGGTCAGTGACATACTAGCAAATTTTTAGTACAGACACCAGGATAATCTCTAGCAATGTTCACAAGGAGAGTCCAAACATTTAGGTAGCTAGAGACAGCACTAGTTTGGTGTAGTAGTTTGAGATTTGGGCTATAGCTTTGAAGACAAGGATTTGAAATTCTTGTTCAGCCATGGAAACCAACTGGGCGACCTTTACCGTATATAGAACTGAAATTGTAAAGATAATTTACAGACACCTTGTATATTCTAGACATTTTCAACTCAACCAGGAACAGGTTTTTAGTAAACTTAATGGTTCCTGCCAACTGAACACAATGTTTTCTCTCTCTCTCTCTCTCTCTCTCTCTCTTTCACACACACATGCACCCTTTTGGATTATTCCAGGGAGAGCTCATAACAATACATTATTGGTAAAAGGTAAAGGTAAAGGTATTCCCATTGACAAGGCTGTCTAGTCGTGTCCGACCGTAGGGGTCGGTGCTCATCTTCGTTGCTAAGCTGAAGAGCCAGCGTTGTCAGAGACTATTATGTGATCATATGGCCAGCATGATTGCACAGAATGCTGTTTACCTTCCCACCAAAGTGGTACCTATTTATCTACTTGCATTTGCATGCTTTCAAACTGCTAGGTTGGCAGAAGCTGGGATTAGTGATGGGAGTTCACCCCATCTTGCAGCACCCGGGCCTTGAACTGCCAACCTGCCAATCTTGCAATCAACATTATTGGTGGGAAAATCTACTTTCCCCTCAATTACTATAGGGATTATAGGGAACGTCAACTAGAATAAGCAAACTAAAGGTTTGGTAGACAACATCGTCATTCCTGCTAAATAAAATGTACCCTGCAAGCCTTGGTTTCCATTGCTACACCAATGGTTCTGGGACTCAAAACATGTGTTGGATATACTCTTCTGACAAACTGTCCAATGCCTCCTCTTTTGTACTGAGACTCTGATTTGAGGAGCTTGGGCTTCTCAACAAGAAACCAAAATCTCCATTCCTGAAAGGTGACGCAGGCTGCATCCCCACTACAGAAATAATCGTTTTTCACCAGTTTTCACTGCCATGGCTTTATGCTATGGAATTCTGGGAACTGTAGTTTGTTTCAACAAAATACAATCCCCAGAATTCCATAGCATGGAGTCATGGCAGCTAAGGTGGGGTCAAACTGATTATTTCTGCATCGCAGATACAGCCAATAAAGCAAAACCGTTACTCCTGAAAGTGGAAGAAGGCTACATCTGCATTTCAGAAATAATCCAGTATGACACCATTTTTCACTGCCATGGCTCAATGCTATGGAATTCTGGGAATGTTAGTTTGTTGTGGCTAAATGTCTTCTGATTGTTGTTGTTATGTGCCTCCAAGTTTCTGATTTATGGTGACCCTAAGGCTAACCAGTCATGAGGTTTCCTTAGCAAGATTGATTTCAGAAGTGGTTTGTCTTTGCCCAAGGTCACCCAATGGTGTTCTTGCCTCACAAAACTACAATTCCCAGAATTCCATAGCATGGAGCCAAGGCAGTTAATCAGTGATTCCCAAACTTTGGTCATCCAGGTGTTTTGGACTTCAACTCCTATAAGCCCTAGCCATCTTTTTTTGGGGGGACTTCAACTCCCAGAATCCCAGGCCATTGGCCAAGACGGCTGAGGCTTCTGGGAGCTAAAGTCCAAGGTATCTGGAAGAAGACCAATGTTTAGGAACCACTGAGTCTAGACCAGGGGTAGGCAACCTTTCCCCTTTAAGGGCCAAGGGACTTCAGCTCCCAGAAGCCTCAGCCATGTTGGCCTATAATAGTCCCATGTTGGCCAATAGCTCCTGGGATTCTGGGAGCTGAAGTCCCTCGGCCCTTAAAGGGGAAAGGTTGCCTACCCCTAGTCTAGACGATTTCCTCAGTGCGGACGCAATGGAAACCTCGTCGGCCATTTTGTGGAACCGAGAGGGATGTCCCTCCGAGAGGCGGCGCGCGCGGTGGCTGCCGGGAGGGCCGCTCTGGCCGCCCCTCTCTATCCCTTTTCCTGAGGTAACATGAACGGCCTGAGACGGGCACTGCTACTGGGGAGGCCTGGGTTGTGGGCCCGAGCGTTGCCATGGTTACCAAGCGGCTCCGCGCGGCCTAGTCTCCCTGAGGCCCGCGGCCTAGCCGCCTCCGCGAACAGCGGGGAGGCCCTCAGGGGCTGGGAAGCGACTGAAGCGGAGGAGGCCTTCGTCTTCCCGGAGTACCTCCCTGAGGAGCCCGATGAGGAAAGGCCACCGTG